TATTAGGTACATCTATTCACATTCAAATCTAATAATTACAAAACAATCTTTGGTTTCTAACATTTTTTTACATCTTAACCTAATTATTGATGGTTCAAACCACTTAACTACAAACTTTAAAATTATACAGCTTATTAAACATATTGGCTAGAATTTTCAATTAATTCAACTTATAATATTCCTTACATCTTATATAATGTAATTATCTTTCTTGAATCTCTTTTTTTCATCTATTCCAAATATATTGTTTTTAAAAAACAATTTTGATACTATAAATTTCTCTTTTTTGACTAACTTGCTACCTATGATAATTTATACTTATTACATTGGCAACATATTTTTTCTAAACTAAAAAAAATCTCTAAAGGTGTTATATCTCAATAGTTTACTATTTTTGAGAATATTACTACAAGCTATTTCTATTAATGCACTTTATATAATCACTTTATATAATCACTTTAATTTACTTCAAGCAAACTACTTTTCTTATACTACTAGTTACTTTAATTCTAATATCAAACTCTAATTACTTACTATTCTTAACAATAAAATAATATTAGAAAGACTAGAAGACATAATAGCTCTATAGGCTTTCTCTTATTACTTACTAATACTGCTTATTTCAGTCTCAGTTTTCTAATCTTTATTCTACTTCTTCTTCTATTATTACTATATGTTCTGAATGTTATCTTAATTTCAATACAATTGGTAACAAATGTACTATTTTTATTTTACAAATCTGGCTACTACACTATTCTGTTATATTAATTCTGATAAAACTCTGAACCTACATGTCAACTTTCTTAATATTGTATACTTTGTAGCAATTTAATATCTTTTATATATTCTATTTTTTTCTTTATTAATAATTAATTCACAACAACTATCTTGCATTTTTCAATCAGACCAACTTACTGACAGTTTACAGTTTATTGCTAACTCTAATTATAACTTAACTACTATTTTATTCTATACTGATAGTTCTGTTATTAAACTTGATATCTTTCAATACTCTATAAGTATAGGTTGGGTTTAAGTTGATTACTTGCAACTAGTTACTTATTTTAGATATAAGTTAAACTCTGTTTATGTTTCTTTAAAGCTAAAATTCTTGTTATTTTTTTAGCAATTATTACTGCCTCTACAAGCTATTCTGTTCATATTTTTACTAACTCACAATTTGTAATCTCCAAATATTATAGTATTTGCTTATTAGCATCTAAATTTTCTTATATTCATATTACAAATTTAATTCATAGTTCTTTTTTCAGTTTACCTCCTATCTTAGTATCACAAATTATTACTAAATTGATTTTTGGACTATCCAATGAATTAAATATTATACCCCTTTCTCATATATTATTACTAATACCCAAATTTAGATAAGCCTTGGCCACTATTGTAGGTTTAGATTGCAGATTATATGTTTGAGTCTTTATTCTTCATATGTAATTTAAAAGCAAGCTTTTCTTTGTTAAAACTTCAATTGAATTTCAATAAAGTTAAAGGCATGGCCTCATTATTAATATTTAAAAAAAGAAATCTATTTAGCTGAAACTAATAATTATATAAATATTGAGTTTTATAATCTTTAAAATTGTAATATTTAGTTTAAATTATAACACACATTTTAGGTTTCAGTTTTAGTTTTAGATTTCAGCATGAATTATGACTTGTGACATTATTTTTACCAAAAATTAATGCCAAAATATTTTTGACAAGGCCACAAGTAGTTTCTATGCCATGTATAGGTTATATTATATTACATCAAAATTTGATGTTTATATAAAAAATTAAATGTTTTTGTTATCTAATACTGTATAAACTATAATATTATATATATTAAAAAACTATAATATTTATAAAGTTTATTAAAGATAAATAAATAAATTTTAATTTATCTAATTTTTTTATAAAATTAAATATTTTAGTCTTATAAGTAGCATAACTAATTTTTCTTATAATATAAATTTAAATTTACAATCTACAATTCTTATTTTTAAATATTATTAAAAAAATTGTTTAATCTTTTAAAACAAATTTATAATTAATATTTAAGATAAATTTTGCACAAATTGGTCTTTAAATAAAATGATAGCTCAATAATTTATTAATAGAATAATCTTTTATGTCTTAACAAAAATTTTTTTACACAAAATTTTGATATTGAACATATTATATACTAGAGTTAATTCTTAAAATAAAACCTACTCAAAACTAGTTTTGAATTTTTTAAACAAAATTTGAAACTCTGAATCTAAAATTTCATAACTATTGTAACAAGAAACAATGAGTCTGTGCTTTAACAAATCTGACTTTATATAACAGATAAAAATAGCAAAACATGGCTTTGAGATATGAGCTTTAATTTGGTAAATACAAAATTTTTTATTTTATTTGATTTAATTATTTTTTGTTTATATAACACTTTAGCTATCAACTATTAACTTTTATTATTAGGATGGCTTCGATATTTTCCCACTACTTGGAGATGCTAAAGATAAGTATTTTATTAAAATTTCTTTTTACTATTATATATTTTTCATTATTACTAATACTTTTCTATTTAATTTAACTTTCTCTTCTATTTTCCCACAATTCTGTCTTTATATAATCATACTACTGTGGGTTTCAACTAAACTGAGTAAGTATTGTACTTATATATTTGTGTTTTACTTTTTATTTTAATGCTTTTTACTAACTCATCTCTTAATAATTTGGAATCAGTCATTCTGAAATATTAATGTTATAGTTATAATGCCTTTCCCAATTTGGATATCTTCTTCTTACTGGGGTTGTTTGAGTATCCGAATATGATTATGCATATTTTGTCATTTTAGGGGATCAATCATGCATATATGATCTGTAAATTTTAATCATCATTTGTGCTATGTATTATTATGCATAAATTGTTATAATTTTTTGGCTTGTGACACTATAATTCAAAACTCTAAAACTATAATCTAAAAATTTTAAAAATTATAAATTAAAATATATAAACAAAAATAATTTAGACTAACAAAATAATAATGGTAAATAATAAATTAATCATTCTATTTATTTCAAATAGTTTAAGAAATAGAATATTTATTATATCCAGAAAATATTATAATTACAGTTTTTCTAAGTATTTGAGATATTCCATTGTCTTTTAAAATGATTATAATCCTCCAATTTATACAATAACACAAAGTTTTTATTAATACTATTAAGTTATTTATATTATTATTTTTTTCAACTATTTTTTGTTACTATATTCTGGATTCAAATAAATAATTAGAGTTATGATCTTCTGGAAGCATATTAAAAATTCATTTGCATTTTTTTAATTAGTTTTAATAATTCATTTCGATTTTCATTCTTTTTTTGCTTATTGTTAATGGAATTTGGTTATGGCAATCAAAATATAATTTTAGAATAATGAGTTTATTGGATTTCATTCTTTAATGATTGCTTTTCACTTTAAGGCTGTTCGAAGTTGATTCTTTGGTTAATATTACCCACAGCTGAAAGTTCCCCTGAGAAATGAACAACCAGTCAAAACACTGAATAACTCCAACCAATATCTTGATTTACAAAAATTGTCTCATATTTGTTCATTCTATATGTTCATTTAATTTTACCCTCCTTTCTTCCAAGAGTTCTAAAAGTGATGTTAACCAAAAATTCAATTGCAAGCAGCCTAAAAAAAAATCACTTATTAAATAAATTATGTTACTATTTTGATAAATAATATTATGCTCTAATCATGAACTGACAATATAATATACAGTATTTTCGAAACTTTTTGGGTGACGATTTTACCCCGGTATACATTGATCATGATGGAATCGATCATTTATCAAATCAGCAGAATACCCATTCGGTTAATTTTTGTAAGGTGTCCCAAGAATAATAATAACAGCTGTAAATCCGAATCTAATAATTATATCCAGATATAAATTATTAAATCCAAATCAAAGTCATTATAGAATTTAGAATTTAGTGGTCACGGGTTTGTTAATCCACTTTATTTAGTTATTATAAAGATACAATCTGTAACTATTTTGTATTATAAAAACTGGGTTAATCCAGGTTTGTATATATAAAAAAATAGTTTAGATTATATATCTAATTTATTGTTATTGATTTTATTGATTTTATATAAATTTATTATACCAATAGGGTTTCGGGATTTCGGGTAAGAGGTTTCGGAAACTATAGTCCGAAGCCCGAAACTTTCGGATTTGGCCAAAAAAGGTTTCGGTGACCAACTCTATCATACACCTATTTTAAATCTAATCTAACTGTAATAATTCTCCAAAATCTTTAATTAATAAAAAAGTTTATTATCATTTCCATCTGTTTGTTTGAATGATGTCAGTCAGAATAAAAACCATAGAGAATCTCTATTCGTGCAAGTTGCATTTTTAATTTTCTTAAACAATAAAATAAAATTATAATAATATTTAAGAAAATAAAAAATCAATTTAATTATTCAATCTTGCTTAAAAATAATTCTCTTCAAAAAACATTATATGGAGTTATAATAATATACAAGGGAATAAAAAAAGAAATTTAATTATTAAACTATAAAAAATAACCTTTTTCATCAGAAAACCAATTTTGTTTAAAGATAACTTAAAACACTCCATTATAGCTGAGGGACCACAAGCCATAACTCTTAATTAACGTGAATTACCATTTGCTAAATGCTTCATATATTAATGACTTTATTGAGAATTATAATTACATTTGTTGGAATATACTGTAAATAGGCGATTTTAAGATAGAAATTTGCAACCTAATTATACGATTATAAAAATTAAGTTACAGGAAATATTATAAGAAAAAAAATATTTGGTACAACATATTATCCCTGTGACTGATTAATAATATTGATTTTTGGGCTTAAATTACAGAAATATATTCCGTATTCTGCTGCAAATAAAGCTCTATAATGGCTTATTTAAAGTCATTAAATCCTTTTATAAAACTTGTTAGAACAAACACCGGATGTTTTATAAAGTCAAAGCGGTACAGATCTCATTTGTACTAGGTATGGTATATGAACTTTTTTTTACAAGTACTCTTTTGTGCCGTATTTCCATTCCGTCATCGTCAGCATCTAGTTCACTTTCAACATTATTCACCAAATTATCAAATTCTTCAAATGAAATCTTCATAAAAGGTGCCAAAAAATGTCTCTGAATTCTATAATACAATAGAAAAATTTCAAAAATAAACTCTCCAAAAGCATAGTCGCGTCTGATCCGATTTTCTATTATTCGATATGATATAGACTCGATTTTTCCAGTCTCATAAAGGTAATTTTCCAAGTTTTCGTTTTCCAATATACCATAGTCAATATTCTGTGCATTGAGCCACGATTTCCCTAAATAATTACGAATAGGTTAAGAGAATATTTCACAATACATTGAGGCCTCCTAAATGCAATTCCTCTTAATGCAGCACTTATTTAAATAACTTTAAATTCCGGTCAAATATCTATTTAACGTATAAATGCAGTTTTTTTTGTATTTTTAAATGTACACACATTATTGAGGTTTATCATCACGAACTACATTTAAAGGGATCTCATTGCATAATAAATGTGCAATAAACATACATGCGTTAAATAATCGTGTATATGGTCGATCAACAGGATCCGTTTTATGTGAATATACAACCTAATATAAATAACATTAGAATCGGTAAAATAATATAATATATTAACATACTTTCTCACCTCAAACCAACCTCCTGGTTTTAATATTCTAAAGATCTCCGACAAAACTCCTCGAAGTGTATTTTTGCCCATAAATATCAAACTATCTTTAGCATAAACATAATCAAATTCATTATCAGGGAATGGTAGCTTTGTAAAAGAATTACATCCAATAAATGTAATATTATTAATATTGTCTCTAGAATTTGGTATGATAGAATGAACTGAATAAAATTTTGAATTTGGGTATTCGGCTGCAACCTAATGTAGTTTTTGAAATTAATTTAATCTTCAAAAAAGAGAAAAATAACACCAATATTCACAAAATTGGTAGTAATTGCTAAATACCTCTGTAACCCAAACTCCACCGTCATACCTTTTTTTTTTTTTTATGAATTTAAATTAATAAGTTTATGTAAAATTACTATAAAATAACAAGAATATGATTTACCGAAATTCTAGCACTTTAGCACCATTTTGTAATTTTTCATGAACTGGAGCGCCTACTTTGCCATTAAACAATTGCTCGTAGAAATTATGCAAATAAATTGCTGCATTGTATGATTCTTCATCTTCAATAAGAAAATGCAAACCTTTTTCAGGTGTACTTTTATGCTCTTTAATTTGTGAAGAGTGACTCATGTGAAAAGTTTAGAAAAATATTTAACAAATTTGAAACATGCATCATTTTATTTATTCCCGAACTTTATGATAAATCTAAAAGACAGGTATGTACATACATGGCGATATTGTAATTACCAATAATCTGAAAGTCAAGGCGAACATAAAATCGCAACATTTTTCTGCCATACCTAATCTACCTCCATAATAAATCTCAAGTTAGTCATTTCTACTATTGATCCAAATCGTTAGTTAAAAAATCAATTACAACTTTCCGATTAATCAATTTAGAAATCAATTTGGAAATTTGAAACAACCGTTTATTCGAGCTGGTTCGTGTTGGTTTCTTAGTTTGATATGACAGATCGATTGGTCGTAGTGGTAGTTGGCAACTAATTGATTGGCAAAATTTTTACCAACTTGAAACACTAATTTCTACTCTAATTATTTTCATAATAAAAAAGCATCCAATGTTTCACAGAATCATCGAATTGAGCTAATCGGTGAGCGATCTGTTAATGGTTAATAAAATTATCGTTATGTATATGGACTATCCAAATATAGTTGGTGTAGGTAAATTAATACGGTTACGGCATGTGCCGTATTATTTGCTGTAATTTCTTTGAGATAGAGTTTGGAACCGGTTTTATTTTTCATATGTTAAAACCGGCTAAACCCGGTTAAACATAAAACAGGTAGCAAACTCTACTTTGCTCGTAATAACTGTAATTCCGTAATGCGTAATTGTAATGCTTAACTGTATGCCGCAATGTCTAAAAATATTACGTATAATATTGCAACGATATATGATAACTTTCACTAGTGTTATGACGTAATTTTAGAAATATAATATTACATAGCAAAGAGAAGACTGGCATTTTATTATTGACATTCTTTATTATTATTATTAAACTTTAAAATGTTCTCAGATTTGAATTGATTTTCATTACCCAATTAAATTAAAATATTTTTGCCGTTATGGTTGTGAGGCATATTTATTGATGATTACAAGGTAAAATTTCTCTTACATCTAGTAATTGTAATTAGGGTGAGAAATGTCACTAAACCAATAGAACTATTAATACTATTAACACTATAAGCACTATTAAGTACTACTCTAAACTGGACATTAATAGTGGAAGGCAACAACTGAGGAATTAAGGTCATTAGATTAGAGCCTAGACTACGTCACGAGTCTCTAATTCTTTATTATCTGGCGAGGGAAGTATTAGAGTAAGATAATTAAACTAATTTCGAAAATTGTATTCTAACAATTGAGTTCGAATCGACCTGTTTTTTTCTGACTAATTTTACAATTGTGCGAGCCTATTCTAGCCAAAAATTATGTAATGCAGGCCAAATTTTTCAGATAATAGTCGTTAGCCGATTATAATTGAGAATCTACCGTACAAAATTTGGTGCGGCAACTAGGTTTTTTTTGGCGTTGCGCATTACGGTGTATAATATTTATGGCTAATCGGGTGCTGTGGTAAAATTAATTCTACCACTTGGTAAAATGCCGTAATTCAGTAATGCTATCACAAATTATATGGACTAGATGCTGAGAAAAGGGGCCAAATTGACAAAATATAGATTTTGCGGATAATTGATTATTATATTATAAAATCTATATTAATTCATAAGAAAATACAGATTCAAAAGATTATACTGTAAAATTTTATTAACGCAACGGCATTTCCTTTTTAAGTGAAAAATGCTCCCGTGTTAATTTTAAATTAGTTAAGCTTAAAAAATTCATTTTGAAAAATTGTCAATTTGGTCCTTTTTTCCAGCACCTAGCCCATATATAAATGTATCCGGATTATCCGGATCCAAATTCTATATGAGATTAGAATAAGAAATATTGAATCATTGTATTTATTATTTTTATCGCCGTCGATTAATTAAAATATAGCATTATTCAATAATTGCACAAAAAAGTTATACGGAAAATTAGTGTTTACTGTCGATATTTAACTGTGCAAAATTTCAAAATTTAGAGACCACGAGGACCAAGTTCGGTGTTATGCTCAAATTTCTTTATAAAGTTAGTTGATAATTTTATCAGTATCGTTATTATTTTGCTTATTTTTCTTATTTAGGTAAAGATCCAACCTTTAATGAGGATCAACAAGGGAGACATGGATAAATAAGATATTAGAACTCTTTTTTAAAACTTAATAGACTAAAAATGTATAGGTACAATTCTTAAACTAATACTAATCTGCAGCCTTGTGGATCACTATGTACAAAATCTACATAAAATACTTAAGATATCTGCGTGACGTTGTCACGCAAAACCAGGAACGGAAGGTAAAAAGTATTTAGTATCTACATAGGTTGGTGCACTATCGTGATGTGTAATATAGCATTTAAATTAAAGTAAAAATAAATATTTAATTAAAAATAGGTATTTAAGTAAAAATAGATATTTAAGTAAAAATAGAAATTTAAGTAAAAATAGATATTTAAGTAAAAATAGGTATTTAAGTTACAGTTAAAGTTCATAAGCATAATAGTACAAAGTGCTGTTCTAGAGGTAGTTATAATAAAATATAGTTAGCGTGATTTTCATTTTTATATCTGACAGGCTCTGGATAGTGTGAGGCCCAATAACGTGACGTAAATGCTCTGCCGGGACCTCACGTGAGAGCGGGTATGGCGATCAAATCCTTGAT